CCACCATGCCTAGTTATCTTCTAGATTTTTGTTGTTGTTGTTGTTTGTCTTTTTGAGACAGGGTCTCTCTGTAGCCCCAGGTGTCCTGGAACTCACTATGTAGACCAGGCTAGCCTCGAACTCACAAAGATCCACCTGCGTCTCCCTCCCAAGTGTTGGGATTAAAGGTGTGTGCCATATTTTTTTAAAAAGGGATTTCCAGAAAAATGATCCAGTTTTAGTTTTAATGTATACATCAACCTGTTACATTATTATGTCTATGGTTTTCTTTGTGTGTATAAACAAAACCTAGGAAACTAAAGTGCTATTTATCAATTAATGCTCGTTATTTCTTAATCATATTACTACAGATTTTCTTTTTTCCTAGCATGTATTTTCTAAAGCAAATTTGTACTTTTTTAAATCTTTTTAAAATTTGTGTGCATAAAATTTTCAACATTTTTTCAGACGAAATAGTGTTTTGATTTTTTTAGAATTTCTCCATTACCATCTGTAACTCCAATTCCAGGGGCTCTGATGCCCTCTTTTGGCCTCCATGGGCATTGTGCAACATGGGTGTGCTTGTATACATGCAGGCAGAACACTGATATACATAAAAAATAAAAATAAAAATTTTTATTTGGTCTTTTTGAGACAGGGTCTCCCTGTAGCCCCAGCTGGCCTGGAACTCACTATGTAGACCAGGCTGGCCTTGAACCCACAGAGATCTGCCTGCCTCTGCCTCCTGAGTGCTGAGATTAAAGGCATGCACCACCATGCCCGGCTAAAAATAAAAATTTTTAATCTTAAAAAAAGAAAGAAAAAGGTGTATTTAGTGCTGTTTTTGAAAAGAAACAAAATAAGTGAGAGAGGGAAGAAGCAGCAGAGTGCCAGCAGGGGGCACACACCTGAAATCCCAGCACCAGGGAGGTGAGACAGGAGAATCACAAGTTTGAGACCAGCCTACACTGCATAGTAAGTTCCCAGCCCAACCTGGGCTATACAATAAGACCCTGTCTCAAAAAATGAAAAAAGAAACAAAAAAACTCCTCAAATAAGACTCGATTGTGCCAAAGGACAAGTCCCATGATGAAAATTTGTGCATCCATTTTTACAAATATTGGTTGTTTAGGTGAAGGCTCCAGAAGGAAAATTTCAGAAGACCAGCACTGGAGCTGTCAAAATGCAACCGAAGTCAGCTGAGTTGAAGTTTGTTACCAAGAATGACGGATATGTCCACATTCACCCTTCCTCGGTGAACTATCAGGTGAGAATGGTGGTGTGTAGTATGTTACAATGTTACATGTGGCACATCCTAGGATGAGAAACGCAGTTCCTTACATCAGACAAACCTTGTTCTGTGACTTGTAGTGTCCCAGCAGCACCACAGATTTAGAGAAGGTTGAATCTGTATACGCAGGCTGACAAGTGGGCTATTTCTGGGAAGACTTTCTATTTTGAGAAAATTCTATATAAAAATGCTCAAGCCTGCTTTTAAATGAAAATTGTTCCTTTGAATTGGTGATTTAAGAAGTCATGTTAATTACATCATTGGTGTATTTTTGCCAGTCTTTCCTCAGCCCTCATCCTTCCTTCAGCCTGCAGCTTTGGGACTGCTGCCTCCTTCCAGGTGGCGAAACTCAGCCAAGGTCATGAGCCTCCTAATTGTCAAACTAGTGGGCATGACCTGGTCCTCATCAGCCAAGCTTCTCATGCGCCATTTGACATTGCAGACTTCCCTTCCTCAGTGTTACCCTTAGTGTTCCTTTTGTTTCTGAAGTGTCCCTCCTCTGATCTCCCCGACTCCTTCACCAGCACTTCTTCCTCTTCTCTGAAACTGTGTGTCCGTCCTCCTCTCACTATAGTGTATACACACTTCTTGGCCCATGAAGGGCACATGACTGTGATTTCAGTCTCCACCTACATGCTGACCAGACCCCAAGTCTATCAGAGCTGGGCTTTTGCTGAGTTCTCTTGCTGGAAAATATCAGCTGATATCTTTGTTACCTCAGGTGCAAACGCTGAAAGATCAAACTCACCATCTCCCAGATCAGTTTTCTCTTTCTGTGCTGGTAAATGACACCATCTGCGTCGGAACCTGAAGCTACAGACATTCCTGCTGCTTTTCTCTGTACTCTAAGTCAATTGGTCAAGCACGCAGGCCACCTTGTTTTTGAGAGGGTTTCACTGTGTAACCCCAGCTGGCCTGGAACTCCATGTAAACCAGGCTAGACTTGAACTCACAGAGATCCACCTGCCTATGCCTCCTGAGTGCTGGGAGTAAAGCACATACCACAGCTAGGCGTGGTGGTGCACGCCTTTAGTTCCAGCACTCTGGAGGCTGAGACAGGTGGATCTCTTTGAGTTCAAGGCCAGCCTGGTCTACATAGTGAGCTCCAGGCCAGTTGGGGCTATAGGGAGACCCTGTCTCAAAAGTACCAAAAAAAAAAAGGTGTGTGCCACATGCCTGGCTTCAGTGGCACCTTTCTGATGTCTCTAAGGTTTGCCTTACACTTCTCTTCTCATCCCCACTGTCACTTCTTCAGTTCAAACATCTGTCTCTTGCTCAAAGCACTGTAATCTTCTAGGATTCTCTCCAACCTTCTACACTACTGTTGCCAGTATCATCTTTCAAAACAGATTTGACTATGTCATTCCTTAAGTCTTCATATATGGAGTATACTACAACACTCACCTGACCCTTCACATCAGGCTCCTTCCTCAAAACCCTCTTCCTCTCTCAGCCTGAGTGCTACAGCAAGAGCAGACTACCAGCACTGTCCCCCATTGCCATGATGCCTGCTCCTGTTCCCTGGAGGCTATACTAACCCTGAAGCCTCCACTAAGAATGATTTCCTGGCTGGAGGCGTAGCTCAGTGGTGGCGTGCTTCCTGGTATGCCCAGGCCCCATGTTCAATCCTCAGCACTTCCAAAAATGAAAAACCAAATTTCCTTAGTGTCTCTTTCCTTCCAAATTGCTTGTTTCTTCCTGTTTCACCCCACCGAGTGTGCATTTGTCCACCGTTGCTCTTACCACATTGGTTCACAGCATGTCACTGTCCTGTGATTGTGAGATCTCTGAAACCAAGAATCTGATTCGTTTCTTTATTTTTTGTTGTCTAACATGATTAATAGCTGAAAGTAGATGTTCAGTGATGTTTTGGGAAAGATGAAGGAGAACAAGAGGAAAGAAAAGAGGAAGAGGAGTTGAACGTTCAGGGCTGGCACTACTGCGGAAAGCAGAGGCAAAGCATGAGGACTCCTGCACCTCAGAGGAGCCTGTGGCCAGGAGGTCATCTACCCTCTTTGGCTGTATCTGCTCTTGGAGACCAGAGGCCCGAGTCAGCCACATAGACTACAAAATCATTCATGCGTGAATGCAGTACCAGCTAGCACTGTCTGTCAGGCACTGTTGGAGGCCGTGAAGAACACTGAATATACAAGTTAGGGAGAGAGGCAGAAAATAAGCTAACCAGTAACCACAGATTAGTGGCATTGCTCTGGGAAAAAAATCAGGCAGGTAGCAGGAATGAAAGGAGAGGAGGACCCTTTTATAGGGTAGACTGGGAAGGACACTGAGGAGAAAACAATCAAGCAGGTCCCAAATGAAGAGTGAGCCATACAGATCTCCAAGGAGAGAACATTATAGCAGAGGAAATAAATGCCAAGACTTTGAGCTGAGAGTGGATTTGAGGTGTTCTCAAATATGCAGGGCGGCAGCCTATAATAAAACACTGTGTAGCTGGGCATGGTGGCGCACGCTGGTGGATCTCTGTGAGTTCAAGGCCAGCCTGGTCTACATAGTGAGTTCCAGGACAGCTGGGGCTACAGGGAGACCCTGTTTCAAAAAGACCAAAAAAAAAAAAAAAAAAAGATAGCCAATGGAGGAGTGACAGATGTGTCAGGACAAGCAGGCCAGGGTTGGGTCATGTCAGACCTTGTAGGCCTTGGTGAGGATTTTAGATTTTATCCTTTGGGAAGCTATTGGAGGGTTAGGCCATAACTAGATTTATACTTTTAAAGGATCACTGTGGCTGCTGTAGAAAGAGACTGTAAAATTCAGAAATAAAAACTGTGTGGCATAGAGGAAACCCTTGCAGGGGTCTAGACAAAAGGGTGGTTTGTAGGTGGTGAGAGCATACCAGCTCCTTGTGTATTTTGATCATGGAGCTGTCAGGACTTGGTGATGATCCAAATGGAGTGAGAGAAAAGAGCAGCCAAGGATGACCCATATGTCAGGGGCTTGGGCAGCTGGGACTGTCAGTTTCGGAGATGGGGAATATTGCAAAGAGAAAATCAGGAATTCATTTAAACAGTACCCCATGCATACATGTATCATAACATTGTGTAATATCCCATAATATGTACACTATGCATCAATTAAAAATTAGGAGACTGGAGGGGCGTGGTGGTGCATACCTTTAATCTCAGCACTCAGGAGACAGAGATGGGTGGATCTCTGTGAGGTTGAGGCCAGCCTGATCTACATAGTATAGTGAGTTCCAGGCCAGCTGTGGCTACAGGGAGACCCTGTCTCAAAAAAAAAAAAAAAAAAAAAAAAATTAGTCTGGCAAGATGGCTCAGCAGATAATGATGCCAAGCCTGACAACCTGAGTTCTATCCCCAAGACCCACATGGGGGAAAGAGAGAACTGACTCCTACAAGTTAGCCTCTGACCTCGCTGTACCACATGTATATGCCACATATACAAACACACAAATAAAATTCTTTAACTTTAGGCAGCCAGGCATGCTGGCATATACCTTTAATCCCAGCACTTAAGAGACAGAGATAGGCAGATCTCTGTGAGATTGAGGCCAGCCTAGTCTATCTAGCGAGCTCTAGGCCAGCTAGGGCTACAGGGAGATCCTGTCTCAAAAAAAAAAAAAAATTATTTTAGACAGGGTCTCACTGTATAGCCCTGACTAGCCTGGAACTAACTCACTGTGTAGACCAGGTTGGCCCTGACTACCTGTTTCTGCTTTCTGGGATTAAAGGTGTGTACAACTGGCCAGTAAATTTTTTTTTTTTTTTTTT